TGGCACTGAAGGGAAAGCTACGGAGCCAAATCACGTGCATCCTACCACCAGTGAAGGTATAGTTCCAATGTTGCGCCCGTATTTGCTACGTCAAATAGAGATGTTCATCATTTATTTTCTACGTGGAGCTATTTGAGACAGAACGCAACTCACTCCTGTAAGATATTCGTAGTTCTTGTAATTCATCTGTTGTGACTTCACGTTTTTGAACGCCTGAAAAAGGCCCACTTTTCCACCGGCCCCTCAAACGCTAATCAGCGTCTGCGTTTACATGAAACGCTGATGGTGTGCCCCCGTCACTTTCCAGAGCGCTATACGATACGCGCACCAAGACGGACTACTTCGAGTGGTCATACATGTGCAGAAGCTCCACCTCCGTAACTTTTGCTTCAGTGCCAAGAAAAGTTGTTGTCGAGTATAGCGTGAAGATGACTTAAATTTTCGTCATACTTAACAGTAAAGAATACCTATTTTCAATATACAAGAAAAACCGTGGATATATAGAACAATAAATCTCTCTGGCATTGTCTTCAAGTCGCAGATAAGTTCCAAATAAATAAATTATAGTATATTCAGTGCACCACTATAAAGTTTTTGTAAAGAATAGATAGCGTAAATGACAGATACAGAGTCACTTCGGGACATTCTAGCCAACAAATCAGTTGGCACATCAACCATCGAAGTCTTTTTTGCTTGACGTCATGGGCCAAATTTACCCGTCCAGCTTCACTCATCTGATCGAAGATGAACAGCCATGCGATTTTGTTGCGGATCACACGAGTAAACAAGCTGTACAACAGAATGAGAAACTTGCACGCAGCGTCCGCTTAGATGGTGAGCGCCATGAGTAGCGTGCTAGCCCCGCATTCGCCATCAGCGCCAACAGCGGCCTGTTACGCCACGGTGGCAGGCGTTGCGTCGGTGTACCTTGGTCTGCACCAGCCTACTGTGAGGGGGAGGATGTCCGTGTTTGTGACGACAGCAAAGCTTTGTAACATTATATTTTACCCTCAAATAACCACAAGAATGGCTATACCTAATGCACGAAAGTAGACCTTGAGCTTCAAAAATAATGATAGTTGTCATTTAGCGCCGCAAAACCACCACATCGTTATGCAAGACGCCGTAGTAAATTAGCTCCAGAAGTTTCGACCACCTGGGGTTCTATAAGGTGCACCCAAATTGAAGTTCACGGACTTCAAGCGTCTTTGCTGCCATCAAAAATTCGGCCATGGCGACCGGGACTCGTTCCCGCGACCTGCGGGTCAGCAGCCGCGCACCATAACCACTAGACCACCTTGACGGGTAGCTTGAAAAATATATACGTAGTCATGAAGCCAACTGCAAATTTCCGTCCCATTTGGCTTAATGTAGCCACCAACGGCGACTCTGCAGCCATGCATAAGCAAGGCTTCCCACTGTTGTACGGTTGAGCGTGGTACCGGTGGGTGGTCGCTCATGAACTGACACGCCCAACTACCGTGGTAGACCAAGTGGTCGACGATTTGACGCCAAGCACACGTTTCGGTAGTCGCGGGACGTGCCTTGAGTTGCATACATTCTAGCAGACGAAAACTTGAAAGCAACTGAAATGGCAATGCTGCTCAACAGCAACGTTCGAGAGAAGGCCGCAGTCAAATTACTGTTCCCACAAGAAAATTGTAGACAACTCTTAAAGTGCGTGGAGATTTTCTTCATCCTATATCTCGACATGACAAAGCCGACGTACTTCTTGGACAGATTCATTTGTGTGATTTCAAGTGCATCTCTTGAAAACGAATAATTGCAACAGGAATCAGTTGCGTATATATCCGGAATCATGGAAGTTAGATGAAGACCGGGAGGGAGTGCCACGTGATTTCGCAGCCTAGGCACGAGAATTACAAATATAATCTCCTTGCTTAAAAAAAAGGTAGTATAGGTGCGCATACTGATGATATAAGACCTATAGCACTATAGCTTGGCAAGTTACAAAAGAAATTGAAACAGCATTTTACTTTAGAATCATCAAATTTATAGCTGAAAACTCAATATTGAGCCCATGTCAGACAATATTTAGAAGTGGATACTTCACGTGGTATTCACGCGTAGATTTAGAGGCATGCGTGACACTTGATTGTGACAGGCGGCAATAGATCACTATATAGGAACCCTAGATTTGGCAGCAAAAAAGTGTAGGACATGTCACCCTCCTGAACTCATTCAACAACTTGAACTTCCCGCACTATGTCATTAATTGGTTGGATGAATATCTAAAGGATAGAAAATTTTATTGTACCCGATGTGGCTTATGTTCACCAAATAGGTCCAGATGGGTCACTCAAAGATCCGTTATTAGGCTCACTCACCACCCTCCCCCATTCTCGTCACCGTCGTCATCAGCGTCCACGAGTGACGATGAAAACACTGAGAAATATAGAATCGTGATGATTCGCGGCGTGGTGAATCAGTTTCGGTTCGATCCGCTTCTGAACTGTGATTCTGAAATCGATGCCGGACCGCGCAGCGATGAGGCAGCTGAAGACGCGCGCTTTGGCCTTGCTGGCTGGTGAGACCTATGAAAACTGCGTGCTTGTTACTTCTTCGCAATGGCCGTTGTCTCAAATAATCACATTCACGCTCATGACAAATCCCCCGAAGCGGCACCACGGAAATGCAGGATTCACACGAACGTGCTGCACTATCCAAGCGAAACAAAGTGAAGCCTTTGCCAGACAGCCAGGCGTCACCGCCAGACGGTATCGCATGTAGACACTACGATGACGACACTAAAATTGTCACCGTCATCACTGTTCCCTCACTGTCACTCAGCGCCTGAGTGCAAGCAAACCTATAGCCTCTTAGGGAGGGGACCAACATCGAAGATCCAGCGCATATACAGCACCTTTTTTTTTACTAGCTCTAACGAACTGTGGCACATGCTGAGAAAACACGATCCTTCTTTCTAAAACACGAAGTGGTATCTGGAGTGCATCGCGTTCATTTTGACGGAAGCCTTCACTATACCGACCGGTTGCGCCTTCATAGCAGTGTGAAGGGTAAATTTGAGAACGCCAAACAACATGTGAAGTGTTATGCTCGCATATCGCCACGTCGTTTCAGGGTTCTTAAACGTTTGCACGAAAATTAATGTACTATTCAAGGCATTTGTTGTAGCGTATAAATGTCTGTAACAAATACAGCGCATGATGGCAAAACAAGCAGAGCTGTGTGTTTGGTTAGTTAACGCACGTTAACGGTATAGTAATAAGATGCCAACCAACGCACAGAGGAAGTGACAAAAAAGAACAAACACCTGCTTACAACTGTTCTTTAATCCATTCTACGCTATGTGCTTTTCTCCGCTCAGACGCACAAGCCCGAAGTCCCTTTTAGAGCCATCTTTTCCGGGAAGGGTACCTGGCTCTATGCAATGTCAGGCTATATACATATACAGAAACATTTGGAGACTCTGACATTTGATTACCCTTATTACATTCCTAGCTCATCCTCTGTTGTGAAATTTCTGTGTCAGGAGAAGCCAGTTGGCTGCAGTGCTTTTAGCATTGATGTTGAGGACCTTTACTATTTTTTGCCTCACAATGTTTTGTTATTGAGTGAGCGCTCAGCTGAATATACTTATGTCTTTCGTTTCTTGTCTGTTTACGCGCACTAAATACCAACAGAGAGAATTGTTAAGAAAGATTTGGTGAAGGAAGCGCTTGTTTAGGTTAGAAATTTCTCCATTCATTGTTCAGCTAAAGGCACCAGAAATCTTCGACGAGTGTTTTTGATATTACGAAAAGGGCTACTGGTTCAGAGGGATAGCCAGATGTTCCGCGAGATTTACAAAGTCAGATGTCTACATTTGGCAAAATGCGGACTGTGCATGCATGCCCCCTTCTGCATTACATGTTAAACAGCGCTCAAAACGAAATGATGATCAAGGAAAGGTAGACCTAACAGGCTCTGAGTTGAACATCGGTTTGAAGCGTGCACATTTCACGTCAACGTTTTATTAGTGTTCATTTTCATTCATGCTTTTTTTTCTTTTGAGACGCTGCTTAAGAATAGCCTGTATGCAAGATTACCTAACCGCCTACACTTGTTGATTGTGGGTTGTTTGAAGAACAGACTGACATAACCGCAATCTTCCATTTCGACTCCACAGCCGTATACCGAATCGTTTTGCATAACTGCTGAGTTGAATCAAGATACATTTAAATAGGTGGCAAATCAAACATTTGTAATAAAATTAACCACCTAACTTAACTATGACCAATAGCGAGTTCCCTCTTGTGCGCTGACTTTTTAATAATATCAAAGTATTACTAATAGCAAATAAATAGCTGGCATATGGCTTCCCTTAAGTGGAGAAAACTGATATTCACGCAGCTGCCAGAAAGTCCGTTGATACTTTTTTTTTTATTAAACCAGAGAACGCCATAAGCACCGGTACTAGCGGCATGGGACGACCATAAAAGTTTGTGCATATAGTACTAAAGTGGTCTGAACACAAAACTGCGTGGACTTGTGCACTTGCATTATATTTAGCCGGAGTATAACTTAGCTACGGTAGTCATGCTTGAAGGCGCTGGTTCGATTCCCAGTCGATTCGATGCCACAGATCGATGAGTGTGAATTTCAAAACCGCCCGTTTGCTTATAGTTAGATGTGCAATAAATAACCTCTGGTGGTCAGAGTTATTCAGTCATCTCCCGGGTGTTCCGTGAGTATATCATGGTTTTGACACGTAAACCCAAAAAGTCATTGTTTAGTGAATTTAAGGTGTCGTGACTTTGAATGTAGTGTGTTATGCAAAAAAAAAGCATGTGCCTACCTTCGACGGACATAATTAGCTGTTGCGGACCGCAGAAGCTGCGCGTTTTGCTTATGCGTGCATACCGATGCCCCAATAGTGACAGCGCTCTGTGCTGTCAAAGCGGGCGAGCACAGAGTTGATGTCCTCGGCATCCGCGGCGCGCGTTGCCGTTTCCGCACGCGACGCGCCAGGGCCGTCACAGCCCAATGACGAATCGAGGGGTGTCGGCCGCCGCGCGAACGAGCATCGCTGGCGGTTTGTTTTGAATGCGCCGCTGCCATGTTTCTCCGACGCGAATCGCCCACGGTCAAGGCAGCGAGCGACCCACGCATGGACAGTGGCGCGCGAGGCGACGACGGCGCTGCCCTTGAAAAGCCCTGGTCTCCGCTGGCCGCGCACAGAATGGCGAGCACCGCGATCCATGCGCACCTGCAGCCTTCGTACCGGCTGCCCATGGTGCTCGGCTTCCAGGAGCGAGAGCTTGAGGCGGCCTTCGAGCGCAATCGAAACCCGAACTTCAGCGACCTGGCAATCCTGGCCGCGGAGATGGGCCTGCCGCTCAGCGCCGTCAAGGTGAGCGAATTAAGTGCGCGTGTTGGCTGCCTTATACCTGTTTGGATTTAGACAAATGGTCGTGCTCTTGTCAACTTGCGCAGATGACAGCTGCAGGCGCGGACCTATCATAATGCGCACGATGAATAAATGCAGGGCACTGGATGTTGTGCGTTTTATCTCACTTTTGTCGTCCATATACTCCATCAGTTCGCCTACACTACAGGGTAGGAGAACGAACACGCGTCCATCTCTTTCCTCTCATTTTCACTCATCGACCTATTGTGTTGCTGCTCTCTCTTTTTTAAGAGATTAAAAAAAAAGAAACTATGCAGAATTTACTGCGGCGTTTATCTTTGTTCTTTCTTGGCCCTAATTCATTCCAGTTAATTCGTTTTTAACGTTTCATGTATCATTGTTTTGCAAGTTTCCCATTCCACCCTGAAAATTGTTCTCATAAAACGGTGGCATGCCCCAGAATTTTCGTGTTCAGTTCAAGTAAGTTGAGCATTTACTGTATTCCCCAATGAAGTCGTTTAAATAATTTTGGCCATTCTTTGGGAGACGACATGGACAGCTGCGTGCTCCGTCTACATGTCGAAGTAAATCTATACGACCATGTGGCCCCTTTGGTATACCTTGCGGACAATGGGGAGTTTTCAAACGGTAAACACAAAGCTTTGCATTAGCGTTTGTCGCCTCTACGCATGCGTCGTACGATATCCCCTAGCGGATCTTTTAAATGAAGCAAAAAGCGGGAAACCACAGCGAACGCTATCTTCGCGTATGCTACTCTAAAACTGCCTAATGCTCCAAAGGCTCAAGTCAGACAGTGCTAAAGGGACTTAGTGAAAATCTTTGAGTCGGCCAGCTGCGCCACCTGTTTTCGAGGTGCTCACACTCAAAATGTATCCCGAGACATGCTGCTGTTCTTCCAAAGCAATGTTGATGCTGAAGATAAGCCGAGGCTTGTGATTTAGGCTCGAGCCCCGTATAGTTAGGCTATGGGTTTCCTGAACTGAGAAAGCCACTCGAGCATTTTGCTTTTTCTACCGATGAACGTCGAAAATTCCCTGTTGTGCTCACTAGTCATTAATTTTGCATGACGACACTGTTAATCATTTACATTAAAAAACCTTGTGCTCTTAAGTGTATGAAACCTTTTTAATTAGCGTAGTTTACTTAATAGTAGTGCTCTAATAAATGAAAGTGCTGCTCTATATATATTATATAGATTTTTTGCTGCTGTAACTCAGTGTAGATTATTTTACTTGAAGCTACAAAGCTACAACACAGTTTATATATATATATATATATATATATATATATATATATATATATATATATATATATATATATATATATATATATATATATATATATTGACATCACTGTAGAAAGCACTGAATGAATTGAAGAGCGTAAACGAGCAAAAGTTTTACGTGCTCGTCTGCGGCAATCCAGCTGAGATGTCTGATGTGCTCGCGATGTTTCGAAAGCAGCTTGCCTATGCATTGTGCGTGAAGAGTGGCCGAAGGGACTAGCGGAAATGCATTCTCAGCCGTTGAAGCGTGACATTCTTTTGCGCGCGCCGTTATTCTCAGTTGTTCGAAGATCGCCTCTTCCCTTACTTAACGCTCTAACTCATACACAAAACCGGGCCACATCTGTAACATTGCGCTCACTGAATGTCATCGCAGTGGAAGGAAGATGACAATATACTTACAATACACAAAAGCATACTTTATGTTACCCCCCCCCCCTCCCCTCTGACACACACATATACACCATGCTGAAGCTACGAACTGCCAAGCTCTGGCTGACATCCAGCAGCGGATGTGTATGGCTTATGACGTGCAAAATGTGAATTACTTGTATGCAGTTGCGAACGTATGAACTTGAAGACAACACCATGCAATTCAATTTTATTGGTTGAGTTGCAAATTTCTGATGAGTATGAAAACCACACCAAGCTTTCAGGGACACAAGAAGGCTAAGTCGCAAATTAAGTATTCTCAGCAAGTAGCTCCTCGACTTCAGGAAACAGCTATGGCTGCTGGGAGTTAGAAATGATCCCTGCAAGAAATGGTGACATCAATCCAATGAATCGACCATTGATCGCCCATTTTTTCGCCGTTAATTATAGTGAAAAATGAGATGCATGCCAAACAAAAACATCGAGAACTGTCTCCGTGTGTAGACAATTTTATTTCCGATTCATGGGTGCCGCAATTTTAGGCCGTTAAAGAATGTTCTCTGTGTTTTATGTGTCCTGACATGAGATCAAAAAGGTCAAGAAAGGTGAAATGCACGGGCCGTTTTCGTGCTTACGAGTCTGCCGTACCACTGTTCGATTAGTTTTCCAGACACAGAATGGTGGCGCAGAGAAGGGGGCAGTTATAACTGCACGCAAACATGCATGTAACTGCTCAAGCTTCGTGTTTTATTTCTAAAAACAGTGCACTCTATAGAGTGGGCATTGATGCAATAGCGTACAAAAATAGATTGTTTTAGTTCGTTTCATACGGTATTAGCCACCAGTTTGCGCACGAGCGCTGGTCATTATAATATCTGACGGTGATTCGGAAGAAGAAACGCACGCTGTCTGGCATTACTTTTCTGCACGTGAAAATATTACAAAGAAATGCCAGGCCTGCATGGAACACGCCGCACAGACACAGTGAAAGCTGGAAGAGCGACGTTTCTGAGCCTTTATTAAACACCCTTCGGGTAACTGCTAATTCATCGACATGTGACCTTCAACGTCCCAAAACCACCGTATGATTATGAGAGACACCGTAGTGGACGGCTCCGGAAATTTCGACCACCTGGGCTTCTTTAACGTGCAGCCAAATCTGAGCACACGGGCCTACAGCATTTTCGCCTTCATCGAAAATGCAGCCGACGCCACCGAGATTCGATCCCGTGACCTGCTCGGGTAACTGCTGCCAGCATACTTGCATAGTTTCCGCTACACCATAAATACTCCTCAGAATGTATGTCTAGTAGGGAGAGATTCGCTATGCCATCTGGCGCCTCTTCGGAGAAGCGAAGTGCTCAGCCGCTACACGCTTGCGAGGAATTTTGTGTAACTTTTTTCATCGTGTGGCTGATGACTTTGAAGAATCATGCCTGTAGCTTTTGTAATAAGTTGGGGCATTCGACGACCCACTAGTTACACAATTCACATTGTGTGACGTCTGGTTGTTCCTTGGCGGTTCTAAAAAGCTTTATTACTCATTTAACGACATTATTTTCTCGGCATGCAACCTGGTTAGGGGGAGTTTGCAGCGGAGTTTCAAGCACCGTCGCGGCTGGGTGGTAAAATACTGGGCTGGCTTACAGGGGACCGGGGTCGGAATACCATGGTGTCTTTGGTGTTTATTTAGTTTTTTTTCCTACTTCGCGCGATGGTGATTATAGACATCGGCGTTGACAACTATATGGCGTCAAAAACTACCCTTGTGGTCTCATAAGTCATAACACCTTTTGCTCTAAAAAACAATCCATGCTCATCCACGAAGTGAATTCGGATGATAAGACAAAACAGTGATCATGAATCATGACATTTTATTTTGTACTGCATATTAGCTTTTGATTTTGTTCTTGTTAGTCTTTTGTTATGTCATATCTTTTGACTTATGGGTAATTAAATTTCTATGTTTACGGCGTTGTGGTTTTTTATTTTCTTCTGATCAACGTTTTTTCGATAACCTTTCTGTGGTTCACGGATGTTTTAATTTCTTCACATGCCGCCAACTGCTTTGCCGCATATATAGTGTTTTGGTATTGTGACCCATTAGATGCGAAGCAGTTCTTTGACAAGCCTGTGTGATTCGGTCTCTCGATCCACACCGCGCTCCCCTGACCGCAGGTGTTGGGGCGGTGCCAAGTAGGTCACGCCTTCTCTCGCATTTCGCACGCTTTTACGTCGCTCTCTCCCTAGCCTGTCGCCGCTTGCTGCGTTTCATCTCTCTCGCTTCACCCTCTCCACTGCTCGCAACGTTCGAGTGAACAGTCTTTCTTCTTTAGGCATCCTCTTATCTACAGAGGCATGGTGCGACAGCTGCATACTCCGCTAGGGGCACCACGGTAGTTCCGCGGTACAAAATCACGGAGCGCACGCGCCTCCATCTCTCCTGCGCAATGCTGCGAAGAGCGCCAGCATCCACACCGCCACTAGTGTCAGCGTTAGCGCCAGCACAAGCTCTCAATAAAGTACACCATCTCGCGCTCAAGCGAAAAATCTCCCCATGGCTTCGCATCCACACATGGTTCCCTTTAGCGGGAGGTAATTTAATTTGTTTTGTTCTGGTTAAGATGCTCTCATTTCGATCCAGTGAACAATTTGTTCTGTCACACGCTTTGATTAATGGGTGGGTAAAGGTCACTGTTTGTACGGTTTTGTAGCCTTTTATTTTGCTTGTTCTGGCTAACAGCCTTTTGATAACCTTTTTTCTGTTTGAAGATATATCTGTTTGTTGACGCGCACCTGCGCTACACGGGCTGTAGACGCAGGATGGCGCTTTATGACAATATGCGGTGTTAAGGGGCTCCCGCCCTAATACGAATATTGTGAAAAAAATGCAATGTGTAGTATAGTCGCTAAAAAAGTGTTCCATTTTATTGCAGAGCTTGTTTCGCAGAAATTCTGGTGTCTGTGCCTCGAGGTGTGAGCGAAAAATCGGCGTTGCCCATAAGCGAAAACCGAGATAGATGGCGAACAATAAAAATATTTGGTTTGAGTGGTAATCAAACCCAGTTCTGCGTGACAAGCAGGCATTCAACCACGTCATTTCTCGAACTGTTTTTGAAAAAAAAGTCACTATACGAATGTCATGTAGTGTGCATGAATATTGCGTGGCATAAGCGTAGAATCACACCAAGTGTCAAAACATGCGAATAGCACTACGAGAGGGTTGTTTAAGAGCACCCCCTCCTCTGCTTACAAAGATCTAAGGTATAGTTAATTATCAGCATCAACACCATCAACAAAGTGTGCAACTGGGCTCGTGCTCGTG